AGCAGGAGTGAGTTTTCGGATGCCGAGCAGAGGGACACATCTCCCCTTCCACAGCAAAGGGAAAGCTGGCAGCGCGGGCAGCGCTGCCAGATGAGGCAGTACAAGAACAAATGCAAAGGTTTGGTGAGGAAGAGCTAAACACAACCCCTACCTGATTGTGTTCGTGAGACGACGAGCCCTTCCCTCGGGATGGGGAACAGCTGCCATCAAGCTGCTCGCTACAATCTGCCGTCCACTGTAAAAGGGATAAAAAAAGGGATTGTGTAAAATAATAGCCAGGCTGGGGAAAACTGCTGTGTCAGTCCACAGCGCACAGCAAACACCATCCGGCTGCAGGCATCACTGTTCGCATGTGGCTCCCCGCCTCTTTTTGAGGATGATCCCAAAGGCTTTGGCTCGGAAGTGCTCCACCCGCTGATGGTGAGCAGAGGGAAGATGCAGGAACAATTGCAGGAAGGCACCTGAAATGATGCTTTGCAATAAAAATTATCCTCAGTATTTCCTTGCAGACTCCAACGGTGTTCAGTATCTCAGGTACGTGGTACGCACCAGGACAGCTTGGCTTGATGACTCTTTTTCATGGAGTCTTCCATGGACAGTTGAGAATTTTCTGCTTTTCCCAACTCTGTTCACCTCAGGGACAAACAAAAGTCAAAACCCTGTGTTTTTATTTTAAACAAAACAGAAAACAGACCTCAAAGCTGCAGGTTTGGCTACTGGCATATGCCACAGCTGCGATGGGCAGCCTGGACAGCAGCCCTGCCATCACACCAGCTTTGCCCCATGGTGGAGGACATGGGCATCGGAGGACTTCCCGGCCATAGTGGGAGGTCAGCAGGACAGCACTGCCCATGGCAGAGGCGAGCAGCTCTGGAATATCACAGAATCACAGAATCACTAAGGTTGGAAAGAACCTTCAAGATCATCAAGTCCAACCATTAATCCAGCGCCACCATGTCCCCTAAACCATGTCTTGAAGCGCCACATCCACATGTTTTTTGAACACTTCCAGAGATGGCGACTCCCCCCCCTCCCTGAGCAGCCTGTGCCAATGCTTGCCCATCCTCTCAGTAAAGAAATTTTTCCTAATCTCCAATCTAAACCTCCCCTGGCACAACTTGAGGCCATTTCCTCTCGTCCTATCGCTGGTTACTTGGGAGAAGAGACCAACACCCACCTCACCACAACCCCCTTTCAGGAGAGCGATGAGGGCTCCCCTCAGCCTCCTCTTCTCCAAACTGAAGAACCCCAGTTCCCTCAGCCGCTCCTCATCAGACTTGTGCTCCAGACCCCTCACCAGGGGTGAGGATGACCTGCTGTTTCTCCCAGGGTTTGACAGCAAGGTGCTTCCACCAAAATAATTCAATTTGGGATCATTGGGGGTTCCCCTCCAAATAAATGAAGGTTTGCATCATACGGAGGAAAACAAAAAATATCAAGCAAATAAACATAAAAGACGCTGCTTAATCCTAAAGTCATTTTGTTGCCCCCTCCCCCCAAGTTGAGACTGAACCTTGGTGACCAGTTGCATTTCTGAAGTCTTTCATCCTGGAGGCGCTTGGCTGCTCCAGAGACACTCAGTGCTTCAATGCCATCACCAAGGCTGATGTGCCAAGAAAAATGAAAATTTAATTCTGTACAAACAGCAGCTACCTGAGAGCTTCTTGACAGGTACGGATGAATCAACAACTGAGAGGAAGAACCACCACTAGAACTGCCCACCATCCCTGCAGAGCTCTGCCCTCAGCGGAAAGCCCATGCTAGCTCAACTAGATGGGAAACCCCAGCCTCGTCTTTCATGAGCTCTTTATTGAGCTACCCGTTGCTCTCCTGCCACCTCTTCTGACCTACCCGGAGAAGCTCATGACACTATCGCACTTGAGAGGCTTCTGCTAGACCCTATGCATATCTGCTTTAACAATTTTGAGTGCAACCACATGCCTGGAAAGTTCTCTCAAGGTACAGCTCACCCATTATCATGTCCAAAGCCAAAAGAAAACTGCATTTTCCCTTCAACTTTCCTCCTTTTTTCTGGTGGGAGCAAGGCTGGAGACAATGCCATGATGGAAATGTCCACACTCTGGGATTCTCTGGACTGGAGATGGATTCAGCTCCTCTGAGAGTGGCATGGAGGACAGAGGAGCATGCAATGTGTCTTTCCTTCCTTCCCCCAGCACAGAGAACACTTATCCGGGGATGGGGTACCATCTGAGCACCTCACACACATGGGTGAGTGGATTTATCCTCTCTCAGGCAGGGAAAACATTATGACAGCCACCAGGAAACGAACTGCAGAGAGATTAAGTAACTTGCCCAAAGTTAAAGATTAAGTTGTTGGCGGAATCTTGCGGTTAAAAACAATTTTCTTGGTCTCACTCCAGTGCCTTCACCATAAACCCATCCTTTTTCCTCCAGTTCTCATTAAGAGAGAACATGTCACCTTCAATCAGGCTGGCTTCCACCAGGGTTACTCCAGCAAGCTGCAGGATACGGGAGTGCTTATTGCTTTCTTTGATAAGAAGTGATCAGGAAGAGAAAACCAGAAATAAAAATTCCTGGTTATTTCTTATATAAATTTGGAGAATGAGGTGGGAAAATGAATAGCTTTGGGACACAACAGGTAATTCCTTCCTAACACATCCCTTAAGACATGGCTCAATAAAAGCAGGTGACCTGTGTAAAAGCCCATCCTCACTTCTTGTCCCATGTACAGCCCTAAAAATATGAAATACTCCATTTTGCTGGAGTTTCACGTAGGAATCCTAATTAAACTAAGACACCAATGGTCTGGGGTACAACCACATTTAGCTGCTTCATTTGAGATGCCTCTAAAAGTGGTTTAATTAAAAGGTTCAATGTGCAGATCTTTCATTATTATTAATTTTTCTTTTAAAAATAAAACCTGACCATCTTTAAAGGCAGCATCCCTAGCGTTGTCATAAAAACCCGCAGCAGCTCCTATTTTTCAGGGTAGGCGATGGAGGGAAGTTAAAGTCCCATTTCCACAACTGGAGGATGGATTTGGTTGTGGCAACCAAAGATCTTAATGCAAAAATTGTACACAGGCTGCCATGAGAATTAGCAACTTTTGTCCTGAAGATGGACAGAGGTGTGGATAGCCTGCAAGTGGTTGTAAAATGTTGACTATTAATTTATTTCTAATTCAATAGTATTTCTAAACTTGACACATTAAATAAAGCAGTGCTTGCCTGTTTGACCTGAAGCCCTCCTAAAGCATCACTTCAAACACAACCATTTTCCAGCCTTAGGTTAAAAAAATGCACTATAAAAAACTCTGGATCACTTGATTTTTATATTTATTTTATCCCACTTCTAACAGCTTTGATCCTCAAATTGTAAAAGACCTCTTCATCAAAATCTATTCTTAAAAAGGTTCCTTTGACTGGTTGTTTCTTTACACCAAGCTAATATATAAAAGGTCCAAGGCTCTGGATCAGATCCTCAGCTCCAGCAAACCTGCATAGCTCAGGTAAATCAGATAAACACTGCTGATATCAGGTAAGGATGGGAATCACAGGATGGTTCAGGTTAGAAGGCACTTTTCAAGGCCACCTGGTCCAACCCCCGGCAGTGAGCAGGGACATCTGCAACCAGAGCAGGGTGCTCAGAGCCCCGTCCAGCCTGACCTGGGGTGTTTCCAGGGATGGGGCATCCACCACCTCTCGGGGTGACCTGGGACAGGGGTTCACCACTCTCAGCGTGAAAAATGCCTTCCTTAGATCTTAGATCTTCCTTAGCTGCCCCCCCCAGCTCTCCCAGCCTGTCCTCCCAGCAGAGGGGTT